TAGAACTTTTAACATTCACATTAATGTTCACCAGCAGAGTTCACCTGTATTTATAGCTCATTGCATTGGTTTACAGTGTTAATATCTTTAATTAAACAATAAAATTTTTTATTTGATGTCAAATTAAAGCTAAAAACTGTATTTATTTTGTAGAAAATTACTGTATTTTTAGGAGTCTGTTATGTTACTGTATTTGTTTGCGCCCAGCTGCTGAAATATTGAGTTTTTTTACAGTGTAGTTCGGTCCCATAGATTATAAAATATAATCCACTCTGCCGTACCTCTAAAACTTGCAGAGTTTCGCTTTGGCCCTGTTATAACTTGTTGTCAGTGTGACGTAAAGCAGAAAGAGAATCAAACAATCCAATCTTTCATAATTAGTTTTAATTTCGAGTATGGGAAGATAAAGGCATTCGTGTTGTAGGAGATATTATTGATGAAGGTGCTCATTTAATTTACCTGTTAATACTTTTATTAATGTGAAGCTGTAAATGTCCAATCAGCCGTCTCACCTGAGTCCTCTGAACCATCTCGTCGTTGGTACCGAAGCGTTCCTCCATCACAGACTGAACCTGCTGGGCTTCAAACTCCAGCTGCTGACGGATCAGATCCATCTGCAGAGAAAACTACAGCGCCAGCGCACACAGGTCAGAGGTCAGAGGTCAGATCCATCATCTCTTCATCAGATACTAAAGACCGCACACTGGTTACTGTAATCTGATCACAGCGTAAGTATCTTTACTCAAGTTTCATTTCTGACAATAGATCCTCCTCAATGTTACACCTTTAAGTACCTCGAGTACTTAGTTACTTTGCAGCAGTGTGTGTGTGTGTGTGTGTGTGTTCTCACCGTGTCGATGCGAGGCAGTTGAGCCAGTCTCTGTGACAGCGCCTCCAGCTGGCTGAAGTACCAGCAGCGCTCCCTCTCCTCCCGGTCGATCTCACCCAGCAGCATGTTCCTGCAGACGGTCACACACACAGCAGACATTACTGTTACACTGTCACACTCAGGTTCTGTCAGACATCTCCAACACAGAGTCCAATACAGAGTCCACAACACAGAGT